CTTCTGGCCACTTAATATAATCCATGCTCCCCACCATGCCAGATTTCTTAATTGCTCCAATCTACAAGTAAAGTCCAAATTATTTAACATGAGACACGAAGTCCACTATCTAGTCCTTTCCTGACAGAAATGAACCAATTAACCTATGTTCACATATAGGACATCTCCACCAGGCTTGATCACACATGGAATGAAGATGAACACTGCTCACAACTCACCATGCTTTTTCAAACCTCCCACTGTTTACACTACTCTTGTGGCACTCCAGAGTTCTCTTCCCATGTTACAGCCTTGATCCCATCCTTCGTTTAGAAACACGCAGTTACCACCCATTCCTCTGTTAATCTTCCTTCAGTCACTCATGCCTTCTCCCTCCCTGTATCCCTGTTAAACAACACTGGAGTATTTTTCCACTTCTATTATTGCACTTACCAAATTATGATGGTTCATGTGTCTGTTTCCTGACTATATTACAAATTCCTTGATAAGTGTACTTTCATATGTCTGCATTGCCATACTTTAATATTGTCACCCTCAATATCCTTTAAACAAATGGATGCTTATACAAGTTACGATGTACAGTATCAAGCTTTTTTCTTTACAATGGGATCCTGGGATATGGTTCACAGTGCCTACACCTGTTCCAAAATGGTGACTGCTCATCAGAAGGAAAGAAAGGAAGGACATATAAAGGAGGGACTCATTACAGCAGACCTAGATCATTTAGTATTCCAGAGGAGCCAAAAAAAGGGTAAGATTACATGCTAAGCACTTATACTCAACTATGTCATTTGTAATTGCAAAAATATGTTAAAAAATAAGAAAGAACAAATATGTAATTTAGAATGGCTAAATGAAAGTTCATTTAATGGATTTTTTTTTTTTTTTTTTTTTGAGACAGGGTCTTGCTATGCAGTTTGGGCTGGCCTTGTGCTCACTTTTGTAGCCCTCAGGCTGATCTTGATCTTGAAATAATCCTCCTGTCTCAGCCTTCCGAATGCTGGGATTACAGGTGTGCCCCACCATGCCTGGTAATGGATTCTTTAAAAACAGAATTTTTGACAAATATTTAATGACTAGGAAAAATGTTGGTCATTACAATTTCAACATTTAATTTTTCTTGTAAACTTGACTAGATTAAGAGCTAGAATGTAACTAGACTATGGGAGTGCTACAGTCACCAGGGGACCAACCTACTGATGACAGCACAGTAGATGGGGCCCACTAGGCAGCAGGCCTAACTAGAGGAAGCAGCTCACTGGGGGCTGGACTTCAAGAGTGGAATTCTTTCCCAGCTCTTTCCTTCTGTTTCCTGGCAACTAAGAAGAGAACAGGTCCCCCCTGTTTCTGCCTGCCCCAGGCCTGAGAGCGATGGAGCCAGATGTCCACAGACCGAAACCTCGGAAACCATAAAGCCAAAATAAATCTTTCCTCTAATATTTGGCCACAGTGACCAATCCACCAATCCAATAAAAAAAAAGTACTATATCATGATCCAGAAATAAATTAAGTCTAAAATTTATTTGGGAAATACACTGGCTTAAAAACAGGGGGGAAAAAGCCTGTAATAAATATTAAATTATTAACAGTGTTTATTTCTGGGTAACTTTTTCTTTTTCTTGGTATCCAAGATTGAACTCGGGACCTTGCACTTGCCAGGCAAGCATTTATTCTACTGAGCTATATCCCTGGCCACCGGGGTAACTTTCTAATGTCATCGAATGAGTGTTTATTAAGCTACAGCACAGTGACACACAAGAGAATCCTGCTCTGCAATTAAATACAGCACACTTTTGTAATGAATCAATGAAAGTTTTAAAAATACACATCTAAAATACCTATCTCACAAAAGGTTACAGGCAGATTTATAGAATTTCTGGGGGATCTAGACTACAAACAATTTTGGTATGAAACTGGAGAAAGACTGCCCATATGGCTTGTACTGTTGATAGTGAACTTTTATTGTAATACAATTGTTCTAGTTTACTGTGGACAGAACATAGAGAAATTAATCTTTACATTTCCCCTTCCTGTTGGCAGATTTAGAAATTTATAATAATTACAAATAAAATTTGCTTAGTTGAAATTTAATCCTTATCTGCATCCTACCACATTCCTTCTGTGTTTCTTTCCACCATTTCCTGCTCTGGGCCCCAATGATTTAGTCCACTTATCTAAACAAATCTTTGCATTCCTTTTCTTCTTTAATAAACATCTAGTTTAAGATCGAACTTTCCTTGCTTAGGCAGTTCTAAGGAAAAAATAGAGTTTCAGAGGGGATCTATCGTTTTGAATAATGTAAAAAAAAATTCACAAAGAACCCGAAGTTACAGTCCTAAAAACTCCTGGTTTGTAATATTGCTCACACGTAAGCAATTTTTAAAAAGTAAGGATCATATTGAGAGTAGCAACTAATTTAGATTTACTATTTGTCACTAATTATTTTACTAGTTTATATTATGGGTTGAAAACTTATCCCTAAAGCAAAAATAAACAGTAAGATCACTGTAATTGCCCAAAGCTTAAGAAGTTCGGCACTATAATCTGAATATTGAGTAAACATAAGTTAACAAAATTGTTCTGCACTTAAGTTACTGAAAATGGATAGGCAACAAAAGTTTTTCAAAAATATTTCAGTAACTCAAATTATTGAATTTATAATAAAAACACATGAAAGATATTATTATAAAAGGCACTAGAGGAATACACAGATCATTAAATGGTAACCTAATTGTTGCGACGTCAAGGGCAGATGCTTAGTGGGCCGGGTGTCAGAATTACTGACATTCATTCATTCACTCACTCATAAATTTTAGAAAGCACATACACTGTCAGGCATAATTCTAGGCAATATAGTGAACAATGCAGATAAAAAGCTCTACCTTCCTGGAGTATTTTAGTGAAATAAGACAGGCAAGAAAAAACAAAACATTATGCTGGAGAGAATTACAAAGAAAAAATATGGGGAAAAAATGTAGTGTGTGAAAGAAAGAAGGAAGGAAGCAAACTAAGTTGTCTAGGAAAAGGGACTCAACAGCAACAGCGCAAGCACAAGGGTCCAAAAGTGGAAAGGTACTTACTATGCTTAGGAACAGCAAGCTGGCCCCCGTGGTTAGGGCAGAATGAGGGAGGAGGGAGTGCTAGAAGAGGTTAAAGAGATAAAGGAGAGGGGCCAACTTTGGGGAATTTAAATAATGTTTTTCTGGGACAGGAATGACAGCAACAGGGGAGGCTGGGGGTGGGGAGGTGACTCCAGGCAATTAGAACAAAGGAAAACTAAAAGACAAAGAGACATGCTTAAGGATGTTCAGGCATCTGAGGCTGACCAAGTGTACAATGAGCAGTACGTGTTAGTGAGAATATGACTGTGAAGGGAGGGGATAGTGGAGGGAGGTTGGAGACAGAAGGCCCTGTGTGTGTGTGTGTGTGTGTGTGTGTGTGTACAGGATAAATCATCACTGATCCTCCGGGAGTGGTGGAAGAGAGATGCAAGATGTGGAGGCCTGAGAATAAAAGGGAAGGGTAGACATTACCTGTCCCTTTAATATAAGTTTGCTTTCCCTAGCAAGACTAAAATCTTGCTGGGGAGATAGCTCAGTAGCTTAAGCACTTGCCTGGCAAGCACAAGGCCCTGAGTTCAATCCCTGGTACCGCAAAAAAAAGACTAAAATCTTGCTCCAGAAAGTTGCTGTAATCTATGAAGAGAAATCTTAGGATCTTTTTGAGGAAAATAATCTCAAATATTCATGTGGTAAAGAATATGCAAGATTTGGCATTTGGACTAGTGTATAATTAACATGAACTGAACTGTTCTAATACATAGTGAATCATAAGACAAAAATGGCCCCAAAAAGGAAAAAAAAGGACTGAGAAGGCCAACAGGAATTTCAGTTTTTAAGAGGCGTTCCACAAAATGGCTAATCCACTGATAAACAATGAAGCACTGACCACATACAATAAGCCAATACCTAGGAACTGCTCAAAAGCTCAAAAGCTCATTTAAGGAGTACACTCATCCATTAGAGTTCATCTCAGAAGTTAACAGTGCCAAAGCCACCCTATTACCACCTTGAGTTATTACTATTAATAGGGAGGAAATTAAACAAAAGCAATTAAGTAGGAAGAAAGGATATTTTCCTTCCTTATTACCACCTAAGCAAAATAATATTACCCAGAATAATTAATTACCCATAGGACACAAGGTCATTTCAGCTTATACAGGACTGCTGTTCGGAATGGATTATGTCACATTATAAGAATCTAACACATAAAGTTGTTGCAAAAAGCCAAAAAACTTTTCCTTAATATATTTATTTTTGGAAGAAAGACTAGTATAAGGCAATCTCAATTTTATTCCTCTTGACCCTTCAAGAGCTCAGATGATTTAAGGAATTGGTTTCTCTTGTGTTTTTTAATTCTGAATTAAGAATAACTTATCCTCATTTGTCTTAATAGAACATCATAACAACAACAACAACAAAAAGTTGCTGCTGGAAGTAGGAAAACATCCAACAAGTTTCAGTGTCGTATTTCTAATCAGATAGAAATGATCAAACGTCTACACGGGACGTTCGCACATACATCGTAATGACTCAGTAGGAGACTGCTTACAAATAAAAAAATTACAAAGAGGGTCTCATAGCTTTTTAAAAAACCGAGCTCACCCATTAAAACGAGTATTTTTAAAAAGCAAATCTCAGTCTACATTCTTTCCTGTCCTCCTGCCTCCCACGAAGCGTTTTCCACGCTCACACTGGAACATCCTTCCATACCATAAATAAGCCTTCAAACCACAAAAAAAGAACCACCGCGGTTTGCAACAGTGCGGTTAGATCTGCTGGCTGCTCACGGTCCCTACAAGCCACGATCGGAGGCAGCTGGGGACGGAGCGAAAGCACCCGGGCCGCTCGCTCCCCCGTGCAACAATAAAGCCCCCCGCTCCCCCGCACGCCGGCCCGGTCCCCCGCACGCCGCCGACCGCACGGCCCGGCCGGCCTCACCTTGTAGACGTCCCCGTACGTGCCGCTGCCGACCCTCTGGACGAGCTCGTAGTCCTGCTGCGGATTCCGCCTCAGGATGTCGGCGCCAGGCCGCAGCGGGGCCTCCATCTTCGCTCCGGCCCGGCCCCCGCCGGCTCAGCCCGCGGCGCCCCGGTTCCCGCTAAAGAGGGCGATCGGCGCCGCTTCCCAACATGGAGCCTCCGCCCGGCCCGGCCTGCACGAGGGACGAGCACGGGCGGTGAACGTTGCGGGCTCCGACTAGGCGTCCCGGCAGCCGCCTCCTCAGCCCGCCCGCGCCCTCCGCCCGCCCGCGGCCCCTCCCCCTCCCCCTCAGCCGCCACCGCCGCCCGGCCTCCCTCCAGGATTTAATATTAACAACTGACTTTTTGTGTTTACTTGTGAGTTTGCATAAGGCTCAGGGCAACAGACATACAGTGAGTGAACCTCTGAGTGCCTGGTCCCTACTGAGGCATGTATAGGCCTGTACAGTTGGGAAGCCTCAAAGGACAAGATAAGGCCTCTGCTAAAGACATTTGGCTCCAACTCCGGTTAACTAAAAAGAGACTGTAGCTGCAGGCTTCTCACTCCTGCAGTGAAGGCCTTCCCGGAGATAAGAATTCTCCTAAAGTAACATGATGTTTTTCTTGGAGAATCCTTAGAAGGATTCCCAAGTTCTTCCCAGATTTCTGCATTTTCTTCAGTATTCCCCTCCTTCCTTTGATAACACAATAAATATGGGCTTCCTAGAAAAGTTCTTGGTCTTAACCCAGAGAGTTGCAAATTCTGTCTGAGGGTTTGGATCTTTCTGGAGCCCTAAAGTCATTTTATTCATTTCATGTATTTAAGCCGTCATTGTCAGCTCATTTGGGAGATTGCATTTGCTGATCAGACTATAATAAGTAGGGAATAATATAACGTGATGGTGGGTATGGTCTGGAGAGGCACCAGAGGGGGCAGAGTCTTGGCCTCGCTTCCCAGGTAGACTCAGAGGACAGCGCAAAGCAGAACCTCAAAGTGCTAGAGCTCAGAGATGGGCTATGAGAAAGGCATGGGTATAAGGCAAAAGTAGGTCACAGAACAAGGCAAGGAGTGGAACTCGGGGCAGGAGATGCTTGCAGAGGTGAATGTACAAAGGTGGGGGGTGGGGGTCAAGGGCCCTCATGAGATGCCCACAGTTGTGTATGTAAAGGGTACCAAATAGAGCTATCAAGAAAACTGGTTCTTAGTCCTGTCTCCACTCCACAAAGCCTTTGTAGGAACTTCCAGAACTGATTTGGCCCCCACTGTGCCCCAAACACAACCTCCCTTTGTCGGGTAGCTTAGCAATAGTCAGAAAAGCTATGGTTCCTACATTGGCAAGAGGCCCATCATTTCAATTCTCCAGAGCATCTGACCTGGACTCTGTTCACAGTGTAGGTTCAAGAACCTTGCTAGGCAATCTTAATATTCCCAGTCTGTTCCCAGTCCTCAGAAGGTGTCAGTTTGAGACCGTCAGCATGAGTCCAGTCTCAGGTGACTGGAACACCCTGGCTATCTCAAGGTCTTGGGAAAGCTCCTGGATCTATTTCCACCCAAGATTAGAGTAATTTACTCCAAGGGATCAGCACAGCAGGGGGAACAGCCACCAAATTCCTGTCCCCAGGAAAAGATGATTAAGTATCCCATGGTTTGTGTATGACCATTCTGCTCTGAGACAATCACCTATTAAAGTCACAAGTAGCGTGTGATGACAAGCCGTGAATTCTCAGAAGGGACTGATCAACCTGAAGACTAAGTGAGAGTTTCCCGTCAGACCGTCGGAACCTGGTCAAGTAGGGCTCTGGCACGGAATGAGCAATGCCTTGCTAAATTCATTCAGGAAGAATGCCACTAGAGCCCTCCTTAGCCATGTGCTGGGACACATAGGCCTTCCTGGTGCCGGAAAGTTCTACCAGTCATCCTTAAGACTTCTTACACCTACTTAAGCTCACAGAACACAAAGTTCACAAAATGCTTTCCAGCCTTGGATGAAGAGCAGTACTGGCTTAGCCAGCACATAGCGAAATTTAGTCATCTTTATTTGTATGCAGTGAGTCTCTGATCCGATATGTTAATTATATTTTACTTCCAAGAAGAAAATAACAGAGATGGAAAATGTTGCCAATCTATGCTACCTATCTTACATCCAATCTGTCCTATTTTAATTCACTCCAAAACTATAGTTCTGTGCAGGGAACATAGTGAAAGCACATGAAATAGCTCTTATTTGTTGCATAGTCTAAATTTTTTGAATGTGTTCATGTGGTCTGTACAATAGCCCTATAAAGCAGATGTCCTCAGGAACAGAGAGGTTAAGGCACTTGCCTAGGACGATACAGATTTGTAGACTTGGGATTTAAATTTTGAACAACCTGCTTCAGATTCTTCTCTCAATGGAAGAAATAATATTCATCCCTTGCAGTGATGGTGACAGTCCTGCCATTAACAGAATGAGTGTATTTTGCACATTTTTCTTCCAGGAAGAATATCATTGAGTCACCGGTCCTCACCTGCCCATTCTCAGTCACAGCTAATGATTCAGGTTTTCCAGATGTCTGGCAGGTTTCCTTGAGTGATCACATATAGAAAAGATGCTGATGGTTTTTCAGGGCAGGACAAAGCCTTCAGCACACATAACACGCACGGACAACCAGCATTCTGACCACAGGAGCCTCAGGAACGTAACAGCATGTCCTGAGGCCCCTAGGGCATGTCCACCCAGCCAGCAACGAGGAATAACAGGACAGGCTGAGACATGACCTAAGTCACAGGTTCCACCTTCTAAAAATGACCTGAATGTGGCTGTGAGTATAGACATGTGTGAGCAAACCAGCTGAAACCCTCCTGTCTGTGTTACAGTCTCTCCGACAAATGCCCCCTTCTTTTCACCTGTTTCCTCTACTGGACTACGGCACCCAGAAGACTATGCGCCTTTCACTGGTACTACAACTAGAACATATCATGTGCTCTTGATGTTTATTGAATAAATGAGTCGATTAAAAGTGGAGAAAATTATCCTATAGGCAAGAGGTAGCCATACATGGTGTGATAGTTTGGATTTTGCTTTGTTGTTTAAGCAGAATAATTACAAGTGATTTAAAAGATTAGGTCTTCCATGGATGGAGGATGTACTAAATCACAAAATTTGGCTACTAACTCCTGCCCTCTGAGTATATACCCCTTGCTACCATGTGACTTTTCCTTTCTCTCTCTCCTTTTTTTTTTTTCTCATGTATTTTGTGCAGAGTCTCGCTCTGTAGCTCAGACTCGTAGTGATCCTCGTGTTTCAGCCTCCCAGCACTGGAATTGAAGGCTTGTGCTACCACACCTGGTCTCAGGTGGCTGGCTGGGCATGCCTGGGGCAGGGCCAGCATGACTCTCAGTGCCAGGGATCGAACTCAGATCCCTGCACTTGCCAGACAAGTGCTTAGACTACTGAGCTACCTCTCTGGCCCTCCTTTCTCTCTTTAAGAGATAGCTCTCTTTTCTTCTTTTGCCTCTTTCTTTTTTCCCTGAGGCTTACTTTGCCCAACAGCCTGTGGCAAGTTTGGTGTTGCCACACAGCTCTGTATCATTGGATCACTTCCCAGGACAACCCTCTAAGGAAACTGCTCCCACCTCTGGAAAGACGAAAGCCCAGAGAAAGGACAGCAGTGAAGGCTTTCAGCCAGCAGTACCCAGCACCAGACCTGTCACTGAAATCGTGTTGGACCCTGTGCCTCTGCCAATCCTCAAACTGGTGATGGTAGCATGGATGAGTGTTAATGAGTCAGACAAAGCCAGTAGAAACCCAGCAGCAGGCTCACAGGATCAGCAGAAATAAATCAGGTGCTGGCAAGGTCCTCGGTTATGTGGGTCTTTGAGTTTTTCAACATCAGTGCTCCTGACATTTTACATTGGATAATGCTTTATTGTGAAGGGCTGTCCTATGTATTGTCCAGTGTTTAGCAGCATCTTTGACCTCTACCTTCTGGTTGCCAGTATGGGTGTCCTATATCTCCCGTTATGACTATCAGAGAAGTTTCCAGAGCTGAGTGGCCTGGTACACTCCTATAATCCCACCTCTCCAGGAAGCTGAGTTAGGAAAATTGTGAATTCAAATTGGCCTGGGCAGTGACTTAATGGGACCTTGTCTGAACATAAAAAAAAAAAAAAGGGCCGTGGTAGCTCAGCCTTGGGTAAAGCCCTAGTACTGGAAAAAAGGAGGAAAAGAATTTCTAGATACTGTCTAATGTCTCCTGCGGGGGTAAATGGTAAGTGACCCAGGAAGCCTTTCTGATTTTTCCTTCAAAAGCTTTAATACCAATTCCTTCTAGAAATCCACATGTTACAGGCTGGGTCTCCAGCTTACAGCACCACTGGGAGATGGTCATACCCTGGAGATGAGGGGGCCTAAGGGAGGTTTTAGGTTGTCATTTCCCTTGATGGGAAATGAGGGACTCCACCCCTTCTTTGCTATCATTTGCTCACTGGCCATAGGGTGAAGAGTTTTGCTATATCATGTGCTTCCACTGATATTCAACCCTACTGCAGGCTCAGAAGTAAAGGAACCAACAAACCATGGCATGGAACACTAAAACTATAAGCCTAAGAAATATATGAGCTGCTCGTCTTATAACTTGATCATCTCAGATATTTTGTTATAGTGATAGAAAGCTAATACCCAATTTGGGGCAGGTTGGAAAGCATAGGCCCACCCTAATCAAATATGAACTCAATTGAAGTAATCACACCTGCACAATGCTGTTTTCAAATGAGGTCACATGTGGAGGTTCCCCAGGAACCATTCATTCTTGAGGGGATTCTACTCAACTCTGAGCAGATTGGCTGGCAGTGGCTGCTGTTCTCCTGGCCATCATCCACACTGAGCACTCAGAAGGGGCTGAACAAGCTCAGCTGCGGCCAGGCAGAGCTGACAAGCTCTAAAGGGAAGGACAGTGCTTCGCTCAGCTCTGACGCAGGCACAAGCTGAGCTTTGCTGCTGCCACCTCATTTGTAATCTGTTTTCTCTCTCTCTGGCTCTCTCTCACTCTCTCCCTCCCTTCCTACCTCCCTTCCTCCCTCCTTCCCTCCTGCCTCAGGAGAGCAGGGCATGACTGTGATCTTCAAAAGAGGCCTTCAAACTGTGGCAAGGGGTCTATCTCTCTGGGTGTGGGTTCTCAGACAGATTTTTATCTGTTGCTTTGTTGCCTTTCTTTAAACTGTTCATAAGAGACCACAGTTCCCCATTTGCACACACATTAGTGCCATTTACTTTCACTAT